GGGCTTATAGGTTGATTTGAGTAGAGCTTGGGCAATCCTTGAGTTTACAAAATTAAGAGAGCAAAATAAGCAGAACAGAGTATTTGATTTTGGGGGTTTAAGAAGCTCTCTTCTTACTGGTGAATATATTCCTCATATTGAACACAAATGATGACTGGTAAAAACTTTCAATTAGTTTAATAAATATATGTATATTATTTTAACTATATCTTATATTTTCAGATAGAGTTTCTTAGCCGGGAGCTGACACCACAAGAGTTGCATACAAGGACTCACCAACATCAAGCTGACAATCAATGGGTTGATGAAAAGGCAAAAAACTCATGTGAGTATAAATTTTAGAGCACTAAAATAAAATATAATAAATTTTAAAATATAAATTTATTTTATAGATTTATTCTCGCAGGATGATTTTATACTAGTTTGGGAAAGTCATCAGGCTGCTGGTGATGGATCATCTTCAGGATCGACCCAATATTTTGAGTATCATAAGTGGTCATATTTTGTTCGAGGAAGGAAGAGGGGGAGGGTATATGGCTTGAATTTACAAGGCTATGATTGTGAGGGTAGTTCATCTGCATCAATATTATATGATGTTAGTGGAGGTGAAGAATCCATTAGACAGAGGGTTGTTGCCCTGATGAGAGAGATAGAAGAGATGAGAAAGATTCAAAAGGAGATGCAGACAGGGCTACGATCCTATAGAGAAAAAATAAAAAAAGAAATAGTAAGAGCCGACACATGAATCACAAGACAATGAAGACTTGGAGGATAATTAGTGCTCTTATTTGTTTGATGAAAGTTTTGTTTAAACATTTTGTTTGATAAAATTGTTGTGTGAAAGCAAGGACACAGAGGACATGAACATCTTATTGTGGATTTCATATGTTATGTTTATTGTAGAACATATGAATTTCTATTTGTTTAAACATTTGGTTATGCTTATTGTGGATTTTATTTGAATGTTATATATGTTGATTTTGGACTATAGTTGTGGGTTAATTATAGTGGTGAGATGCCCTTATTTGTTATATATGTTTTGAATTATGTGTAGGTATTATGGAAATTTATATAAATTGAGGGGGGCTGTCAATTTATTTTTGAAAGCGCTACAAGTTTTAGGTGGCCAACTGGCGGTTTGGCCCCCGGAAACATCAATAGTGGACTGCTTATTGTAGCCACCAACATTTTAATTTAGCCTCAAATAATTGCCGCCGATTTACCAAAGGTAAATTGACGGTAAATTGGCGGTTTAGCCGCTGGTAAAACCAGAGTTTTGGATGGCCGGTAAGCTACTGGTAATTAATCAGCGGTCACCGACGCTATGACTACTAGAATTTTATCGTCCGTTTATATTGCTAGAAAGTCGTTGCTAAAGTTAACCTCCAGAAATTGACCATTGCAAATCATTTCCTACGCGGTTTATACAGGAAATTTACTAACCGCCGAAAAACTGCCGGTATTTTAGGAAACTGCTGGAAACATAATATTAACCCAGGAAAAAATCGCCAGCAATTTGCATTTTTCCTGTAGTGACATACCTATTATGCAAAGCTCCCTCCTTAACCGACCAATCCGCATAATCATTACCAACCCTCTTAATATGAGAAATTTTATTACTAAAATTAGTGAGAATAACCAAAATTTTCTAAAACAGATAAAAATAATTAGCATTCTGGCATTTCCTTACAATAATGAGAGAAGGCAAACCTTTAGAATCTATTTCCACCCATAAATTACAAACATTGTTATCATTACAAAGCATCAAGCCTTTAAAAAGGACATAAAAACCAATACCTAAGGCATTGCAATTAGGAATGTTAAAAGTAAAGCCACTCAGTAGCTTGCCATCATAATCACGCATCCATCCAACAAAATAGAATAACGATATTATGTTTAAATTCATCATAAGAAGGCTTAAACCACTTCATAATCTTAGGAATTGAAACCATATTATTCTTATCACCATGAATATTAAAGAAAATATACCAATCTTTCCTCCCTCTAAAATGCTTATGAGATAATACATTAGCCTTGTAAAGCTATCAAATTTTTAAAATTAAAGCATTTAAAGCATATGAGAGCTCATTTTAACTCCATTATGCTTGCTATTATTCCTATCATCTCAAAGTAGCCAAAATACCAAAAAGGGGATGATAATAAATATATGCCATTTAGCTGTGTTATGAAACCAACTAGAAAAAAATAAGTCTTATTATTAAAACCCATTTTTATTTACAGACCTCTCTCTAGAGCAATCCAACCTTTTGATAGTAGTAGGGTCATTCAAGAAGACATGGCCAATAGTCTCAACATGATAACAACTTTGACACTTAGAAACCAAATAATTATCTTTATCTTGTAACCTTCTATCAACAAAAATATAGTCTTTTAAGATTTTCTAAGAAAACATAGAAGAATTTAGAGTAGAGGAATTCCAAATTTTACTAAATATATGTAGGACTATATTCTTTTTTAATCTAAAAATTACTACAATTTATTAAGACTTAAGTCACTATCTTCAGATAATTTAAACATGATTTGATCATTACAATTAATGCTAAGAGAAATGTCTCACAAGTTATCCACGAAGCCTTAAAGAATAAATACAAGAAAATGATTTTTAAACCAACAATCATTATTGATGAACCAGCACACTTTTAATGAGGAGATAGAAAGAGTGTTAAAGTATGTGTGAATAGCCCAACACTAGATTAATCATCCTACCAAAATTGCATTAAACCATTGTATATTCCCAATTGAATGGTAGATTCAGTAGACCATTTTGTATTGCATAACCTTTTCCACTTAGGAGACTGTCCTTACTTAAAAAAGTAAGTGGTCGGATGCATATTCTTATAATATTTTTTATTCATATTATTTGCCCAAAGGGAATCATTTTTCCTGAATTTTTACCACAATGTGAAGGAAAAACCTTTCACTAAGTCATAAATAGATTTACAACATAAACCCCAATCTAACAGAGGACCAGTACAAGCACCTCAATAAGATTAATGAATATTTTTAGAGTTAGTAGTGGATCCCCAAAAAAAAATTATTAATAGCATTATCCAATCTATCACAAACTTTAAGAGTAAGATTAATGGTCTGGAGGAGGTAAATGGGCATATAGCACAATATAATCTTAATCAAAATAATTAAGCTTAGCTCCCATATAAAGCATTTTGAATTCTTAGGCCGAAAAACTTATTGTTAATAGAAAAAATATCTCATGAAATAAAAAATATTTCTTATTACCTTTAAATAAAGGAGTTCCAAGATAGAAGATAGGAAGGACCTGATTATAATAATCAATATATAATTTAGTATGATTACAATGCATCAATGATATACCTTTACCACCAATAAAAGTGCATTTGCTATTATTTAACTTAAGACCACTTTTCTTTTCGAAGATAATAAGAAAATTCTTGATTTTCTTAACACATTTAATAGACCCATTATAAATAATAATAATAATATCATTAGCAAAGCAAAGATGAGAAATATGTCTAAGAAAGGGACAAACCCCTAAATAAGTAATCAACAACAACAATGTAAAGAGCAGGAGATAGCAGATTCTATTGCCTAATATGCTAGACTCCTTTGTTGAGACCAATAGACTTGCAATTAATAATGATAGATAACCAACAATTTTCAATTATTCTTTTAAGTAGCTTAATAGAATTAGCATCAAAGTCAAATTGCAACATAATGTTAAACATGAAAGCCAATATTTTAAGTTATCATACGCCTTGAAAATATTAAGCTAAAAAATTAAATTATGCCCATAAACTATTTTTGTTAATTTCATGACTCAATTCTTGAACAAGCAAAATATTATCAGCAACATTTCTACCTTTGGCAAACCCCATTTATTTTAACAAAATAATTTTAGGGAGTAAAAGAGACAACCTTTTAGCTAAATTTTTGAAATTAAATTGTTGAAAGTTGTGCATAGACTAATTGTTCTATAGTCATTAATTAAGGGTTCATGATTGACCTTTTTAGGAAATAAAATGATAGAAGTATAAGAAAAAATATAGGAATGCTGAAACCTTAAAAAAAAACAAGCACAACTTATATAGGTCATCCTTAATAATATTTTTACAGCCGTCAGGATCAGCCATAGAATTCTTATTCATGTTCATCAAAGTATTAAAAAACTCAAGCTTATCAGGCATATTATAATGAAACATTTATCCTTCAGACAATAAGATAAATAATAAAATGAGGATTAGAGATAGGCCAAACCTCCTTACTAGAATCAAAATAATTTTTAACAATATAGCCGATTCAAAAATCAAAGCATTATCATCACACAATTCATCATACTCCAACTTGATCATATTAACGAGAGATTAATAAGCTTTTTAGAGTTAGCTACAACATAAAAATAGATGGTATTTCTACAGCTTCCAATATATATGTGCTTAGTAAACCACTTTTTTATGTTAATTTTCTTCTCTCATAAGTTGAAGGTCAATCAGGTTGGCCTTAGCAAAGCACAACTGATTCCAAGCAAAATTACTAGAAGAAGAAACTAACTTTTTTTAAAGAAAAGTAACATCATTTTTTGCCTAATAAAATTATTAAAAATATTACCAATTTTATTTTTACTGTAAATGAAGTCAATGTTCTAGTGTTGAAAAAGTAGCGTGAACAAGCTTAGTCAAAGTCATGCATCAAAAGAGCTAAGAGTTCCTTGTTTGAGTGAGCGGGAGTAGGAGTAGCAGTCTCCAGACAATTAGCTCAACCCCTCCTTCAGAGAAAACTTCACTTTTACAGATGTCATTATAGATAAGTAAATATATTTTACTCTTTCTAAGCCAAATATCTTTAAAATTGATCAGTCTGAATCCAAGAGCATCATATCACTTGATAGATAATAGAGAAAGGCAGATAGCAAACCCTCACAAAAGACAAAACTGTACCCATTATACATCATTTCCCTCAATTACAGAACTCTAAAGTTACTATGCAAATGTAAAACAAGATAATTAAGTCCTTGTTGGTCCTAACGTCAGAGTAGTTAAATCATCTTCATTAGCTGCAATTCCAGCTTCATCATTCTCTGAATGACCAGTTGCTAAGGCTCTGTGGTTATGATCACCTTCGTATGATATATCTATGTTGTTTGGTTCATTTGGTGGCCAATCCACCTTCTTCCTCGCCTTACAGTTCTTGTTAACACATTTGAAATAACTTCTGCACGCACATATTTATATATTTATAAAATTTATAATGTATTATTCAAATTTATGAAATTCATAGATATGCATGCAGTCATATAAAATAATTTAGGTACGTACCTTTTCTTCTGTATTCTTTTAATATTCTGTTGTCCACATTTAATCCATTTGTAATCATCTTCTGGGATAACAACCCTATTTTGTTCTTCATTTCTTTTTACCAAAATATCAGGAAAAGTATGAACTTCGCATAATTTTGATTAAAAATGTAAATATAATTACAAAAAATTGCTAACTTTGCATAAAATAACAAAGCCAAAAATGAAAATATTTGAAGAAAACTAAGAAAGCTTAGTCGAATAATAGATAGATATATAGATAGGTACAGAGAATTGAGAGATAATATTGAAAAGCTTACATGATATGGTTATGATCTCCTTCATACGATATAATTTTGTTGTTTGGATCATTTGGTGGCCAATCCACCTTCTTCCTCGCCTTACAATTCTTGTTCTTACATCTTAAATAAGTTCTGCAGGCACATATTTATATATATTTATATGATTATCATATAATATTTATATATGCACATATCTAGCTAATATCTATGTTTTGATGTTTATTTAAATTCATATAAGTAAATATTAAAATTTAAAATACATATACATACCTAAACATTTTAATATTGTGAATATAGTGTTCCCAATCCCGGCCATACTTTCTCCAATTGTAAGCATCTTCTTGAATAGCCATCATTCGATCGTTCCTTTCTTCAGCTATATTTTTCTCATTTGCTTCTTCTTCCTTATCACTGTTTATTTTCATGGCAAATATATGAACTCTTTTATATCTTCAAATATCACTAAACAATATATATAATAACATCAAATTTGTATGCCTAACATGTAAATCTTTATATTTATTTATATAATGCTCAAAATTATAAATTAAATTAAAATATAACTGATATTAACTTAATTAAATAAAACATGTACTTTTATGCAAATATTTTGAATTGTTTTAGAATTTAAAGCGGTATATAAGTAAATATAAAATTTTATATATTAGATTTTTCAATATATAAACATATTTGTGGCATATATGTAAACTCTTCTTAATTTTTTCTTAGTCTCATAAAATAAAAAGAAAATATATCAGAATGTCTTAAAATAAATTATATCATGTCGATCATTAAAGGTATTAAATTTATTTTTAAATTAGTATAGATTTTTATATGTAGCATTAATTTCAAAAAATATAAGAATTTTTAAATCGAACCTAATATGATTTGCAAAGGAAAAAGAAAATATCTCATAATGATTTTTAGCATAAATATTTCTACTTAAAAAAAAATTATATTAAAAAACTTTTTTAAAAAATAGTTGAAAAGCAATCCCAAATGAAACAGAAGTATTACATATAATTACAAATATTTATAATTTGTAACCTTTTTTTGGGGCAATTTCCATTGTTATGTTACATCATTTATATTATTGTTTTACTTCCACTATCAACAAATAAAATTTAGCTACGTTTTTTTTTTACCTATTGAAGTGGTTTAAAATGTTATAGAAATATGTGCAAGTGTTTAATGGCTGCTGCAAATATGTTATATTTGTATTTGCTAGTAGTACTTTCTGCAGCAGTTTGTGAACCGCTTCAAATATTTAAAATAGCAAATATTTTAATGTTGAAATTCTACGATATAGAAGCGGTTAAAACTGCTGCAATTTTTTATCAGAGGAAAAAAATATGAAGCCAAAAATTAAATTTTGTGATCAAATTATAAAGAAATTAATAAGAGCATTGCACATACATGAATTGAGTGAATATTATCAACATGTAAATCTTATATCCAATGTGTTAAAACTAAGAAAAATGGAATTAAGAGAGAGAGACTTACATGATGGGGGGTGTAGAAGAAGAGGCCATTGATAATACAAGAGTAAGAGATTAATTTGCAGGAGAATTATTTTCAAATTTTCTTTCTTTTTTTTTTGGAGAGAGTAGGTTGGAGTAACGGGAGGAGGAGGAAGAAGAAGAAGAAGGGTGAGAGGTTTAATTAAGGAAGGAGTGGCCATGAAGACCGAGTTGAAGTTTCCAGGATAAAAGGAGGAGGGTGGACTTGGAAAGCTATGGAAATATTATAATCAAATTATTTTTTGATGAAAATTGTGCTCAAAATAAGACTATTCTTACTCTTTTAAAAAATAATTTTTCAAATTTTATATTTTATAATAAATTTACAAATTCAAATGCCAATAAAGTAAAAAAGAATTTTATAAATATTTGAGGGCAAAATAATATTCCAATGGATGGATGATGAAAAGTTTTCCTAACTAGGAGTATTTCTGATTAAAAATTTCGTCAAATATCAGGCTATTCTGACAATTTTCAAATTTTTTTTAAAAAGATAGAAATTAGAAGGTAATATAGTAAAAGAAATTATAAATATTTTAAAGTATGTTTTAAAACAATAAAATTAATTTTTTTGAAATATGCAGGTTGTTGCTGAAAATGTTATGATTTTTTTTTCCATTTGCTCTCATCTATCTAAATCTAGTCGTTATTGGCAATTCACTTCCATGAGGAATGAGACTGCACTTCACCTGCAATAAAATTTCGTCATATATAAAACTGAGTTTAAAGATTTTTTTTTTTTTTTAGTTGAGAGCATGATCTCAAATTAAATTGATATAAGGGCCATTTAAGAGAACAAAATCTTTACTTGTTTTTCCTCACACAAATTATGATCATAGTACTATAATAGTAATAGCGACCAATAAAAATACTATTTTAAGATGTCAAAATAAATTTCTAAATAGATAAAAAATGCTGATTTTTTAAAATCAACTAATTAAAATCTCAAATAAATATTTAAAATGTTCACAATCTCGATCTCGATAACATAGAAAAAGTTATGCTGTGAATGTTTTACTAAAACAAAACTATTCTCATTTTCAATAACAAGTTATATGATGTTACAAAGGGGGATTGGATAATAGTTGGTGATGCTCCTAGTATAGCTAGGTTGATTAAGAAAAAAAAGTAATAGTTATGGCCTTGATATGTTTGGGAAGTTTCTTCTTTTATAAGAAGAATTTGACACTTGCACATATATCCTTACAAATGACATCCATATGAAGTTGTGAGTTGACTAATAATGTTGGAATTGCATTGAGTCGTAATTTTGGTGAATAAGAATTTTAAGTCATCCTCACATCCTTTTGAACAAAATGCATGAAGAATATAATGCCATGTAATGTATTCATGACGTACCTCTTACCATTCATATTTCAAATGATTGGCATAGTCCGACACATGCAAGTTTAAATTTTTATTTTGTGATTTTTCATTTTATGGGCAAGAGAAAATTTGGTCTACATGAAGTTGTGCCTTCCAAATCAAGGCAATAGTAGAATGGCAGTTAGGAAGAGAGAGCCCATAGTTCTTGAATTGGAATTTTTTATTAAGGGTTTAGATGAGGGAGAGGTTATCCATAATAAGATGGATTTGGGCTGAACACAAAGAAGTAGCACTATTAATAGTTGTATAGGAATCTTAATGATATAAAATCATTGTAATGGAGAGAAATCTTAGCTAGCTAGACACTACAATGAGCACGACAAAGATGAGAAGTATGTATGCACTGATTCACAACAATATTAAGAGAGATCTAACTTTTGCACTAATGAGTTTTTAACTATCATAGGTTCAAAGTCACTTTCATATAATATTTTGAGCTTTAAGATAGTTTATATCTTTTATTAGAATGTCCTTAAATGTCCACATGTCCACATGAAAGATAAATTTGGTAATTTACATACATAGTTTACACTCATTGTTTTTGTTTTCATCCACACAAGAGCTCAATGTTATGGCGTTGTCAATGCTGGCATCACGGCGTACATAGAACAATTTTGATGACTTCACATTGCACTTGTACAATCTAATTCTTGACTCATACAAGGCTCTCTTATGAACTCTATGACTTAAAACTGCTAATAAAATTAAAATTAACAATCTTTAACAGAAACTTCCAAGATTCTTATTAATAGATATTATAACTAGTATCCGTATGACCTTAATGCATCCATGGTTGGAATGTTTAAGAGGGGAGATGAACACCCATGGTCAGTAGAATGAACACCCATGGTGTACATAGAAAATTAGATCATTTAGACAGCAAAGATTATAAAGTTATTCCTCGTCAAAATTTATATACCCAACATCGATTATTAGTTTTGGACTTTAAGATAAAGGGGCAGAAAATAAAAAATAAAGTAAAACGATATTCTAGGATTAGATGGGGCATTTAAAAATTATCAATAAAAGTAGTTTTGATAGTAAGATTTTAGATCTTACGATTTTGTCTGTGCAAGATGATGATAATGTTATGTAGAAAATAGTGGCTAGTGATATTAAGAATATTGCGAAAGATGTGCTTGGAGATTTGAAGGGAAAAGCTCCTAATAGTAAGAATAGTTGGTGGTGGAATCCAAATGTGCAAGAAAAGATAAAAAATAAGAAGATTTGTTATAAAAATTTGTTTAGATGTAAAAATTCTAATAATTGGGAAATCTATAAAGAGGCTCGTAAGGATTCTGAGAAAATTATTTACGATGCAAAGAATTTAGCTTTTAATGATTTATAAAAAATATTAGATACTAAGGATGGAGAAAGATATATGTATAAGTTAGCCAAACAAAGAGATAGGAGTAGTAAGGATTTAGTTCAAGTGAAGTGTACTAGGGATGAAAATTAAAAAATATTTTTCTTAGAAAATGATATTCAACAAAGATGGATGAGATACTTTGCTAAGCTTTTTAATAAAAAATGTAAAAATATGATTGAATTTAGAGACTTTAGCACTCTCAATGAAAATAAAGATTTTTGTTATTATCGGCGTATTAGTAAAACTGAAGTTAGAAAGGCTTTAAAGAAAATGAAGTGTGAAAAGCTGTTGGACTTAATGATATTCCAATAGAGATGTAGAAATGCTTAGGAGATGAAGGAATTTCTTGGCTTACTAAACTTTTTAATACTGTTTTGAAGACTAAAAAGATGCCAGATGAGTAGAAAATGAGCGTGTTAATTCACATTTTCAAGAATAAAGGTGATGCACTTGAGTGTGCGAATTATAGAGAAATTAAGTTAATGAGTCATACTTTAAAACTATGAGAGCATGTTATAGAGCGTAGGTTGCGACGTGATACTAATGTTTCTCAAAATCAATTTGGATTCATGCTGGGTAGGTCTACTATGGAAGTCATACATTTATTGAGAGGTTTGATGGAGAAATATAAAAAGGATAAGGAGGATCTATATATGATATTTATTGAGTTAGAGAAAGCATATGATAAAGTTCCCAGAGAAGTGCTTTAGAGAGTTCTTGAAAGGAAAGGAGTTAATAACAGTTATATTCAAATCATTAATGATATGTATGCATGAGCTATTACTTGTGTTCAACATAAAGTGGTTTGACCAAGTACTTTCCTATTTTGATTGGATTACATCAAGGATCAGCCTTAAGCCCGTATCTTTTTGCTTTAGTCATGGATGTTCTCACTAGAAATTTGCAAGAGGGTGTACCTTGGTGTATGCTTTTTGTTGATGATATTCTTCTTATTGATAAGCCTAGAGAGGGAGTTGAAGGTAAACTTGAATTATGGAGGTCAACCTTAGAGTCTAAAGGTTTTCATTTGAGTAGATCTAAAACTGAATATATAGAGTGTAATTTTAGTAGCAATAGACCTAGTGAGGGAATTATGACTTTGGGCGATCAAGTCATTAATAAGAGTACATGTTTTAGATATCTTGGATAT